TAATAATAATAATAATATGCCATCAAGTAAATTCTGATTTACAGCAATCCTTTACAGCATTTTTAGGTATAGAGTACTCAGAAAGGCTTTAACGATTCCCTTCTTCTGGTAGGAGACTGTGATCTGAGACTGTGCAGCTTGCTCAAGGCTACACAGGCTGGCTGTTCTTCTGGCAGGCATAATGGGGAATAATTCCCAACCTCTGGCTAGAATACTGTTTTTTTAAAAACTGATGGACCTTGTAGTTGCCTTAGAATGCTGTAGGATGATGGGGACATGCAGCTATCCTTCACTGCAGCAGCTCTGTAACTCCTTCAGTAAGTCTCCTGCCAACAAAGAGCAACCACCACTCTTTCCACAATGAATCCTGTAGCTGAAGTCCTGTTGTACATTTACACCTGTGTAAGTCAAAGTTTCATAAGTGGTATAAAAAAACAACGGCAGGATGGGAGTAATATGCACAAAGCACCTCTTCAGGCATGTCACACCACAGTCCTGACGTTAACCGTGCAGCCAGCTGCACAACTACAATGGGAACTCTGCAGTGTTGAACCGCATGATTAGTTGTGCAACTGTAGTGTGAAGTACACCGTTGGTTTTACAATGCTTGCTTCCTGGACAAGCTTAAGTTTGCATGTCATTAACTTGCACAGGCTTAGGTTTGCTTGTCATTAACTTGCACAGGATTTCAGCCGCTGTGACACGGTGTTTAGAGTACTGGAATGGGACTTGGGAGATCTGTGATCTAGTTTCCACTGAACTGTGGAATTCACTGGCTGACCCTGTGCCAGTCACTTTCTCTCAGTGTGACTTTTCTGACAGTGTTGTCATTGTGATGAAGAAGTAAGAAAAAGGAGAGCCATGTACACCACTTGAGTTCATTGAGGATATAAATTTAACTAATTAAAAAAAATCAAATATATTGTAAAAGGAGATCAAGAGAGCCAAAACTACAAAACATGGGCAATCAATGACATTGTAGAGAACATAGTGACAGGTTGTTATACTGAAGCGTATTTATCCTATTCATACACTTTCATTTCTGTATCCCAGGGCACTTACAACCTCGGTAACACTCTGTAGTGAGTACAGTGAGAAATTATCAAATGAACTGCATAACTTTTGTTCTATGGAAAAGCTTATTTTTTATCTCAACATCTCTATTTTTTTTAAATGCAGTAGGAGACTAGAAGCTTTTTGTTTTTATTTTTTCTAAAATGGATGTTTTAATGCCTCACACACACACACACACACACACACACACACACACACACACACACACACACAGAGAGAGAGAGAGAGAGAGAGAGAGAGAGAGAGAGAGAGAGAGTACACATTCACAGGAATTGACCACCATGCTGTAACCTCCTGATCCACACATTACCTGTGTGCACGCAAGCTCATATGTGAGCTTTGTCTATATTGCTTGGCTATATACAGAACATGATCATATGCACCTTGATTGTTGTTAAGTGCTGTCAAGTCACTTCCAAACTATGGCGACCCTGCGAATGAGCGATCTCCAAAACATCTTGTCCTCAACTGCTCCCTATGGCGACCCTGTGAATGAGCAATCTCCAAAACATCTTGTCCTCAACTGCTCTGCTCAGCTCTTGTAAACTCAAGCCTTTGGCCTCCTTAAGGGAGTCAGTTCATTTCGTATTTGATCTTCCTCTTTTCTTGCTGCTGTCCACCTTTCTCAGCATTATTGTCTTTTCTAGAGAATCCTGCCTTCTCATGATGTGCTCAAAGTAGAACACTCTTAGTTTCAACATTTTTGCCTCCACAGATAGTTTTAGTTTCCACATTTTTGCCTCCACAGATAATTCAGGCTTGATTTGATCTAGGACCCACTTGTTCGTCTTTCTGGCACTCTAGCATATCCACAAAGCTCTCCTCCAGCGCCACAGTCATCTTGATTAAATAACCAGAATTTTCATTATCTGAGTACTGCCTTACTTAAACTTCATGCTTTCATGCCTGTTTAAATGACACTTCAGGAAGTTTACTTTGCTTGCTACAGATGATGTAGATGCCTCTCTGTGGAGTGATCTGAGCACTGATGCACTGGAATTTGAGGCAGAATCTTGGAGTCTCATTGTGGAGCCAGTGTTTTGCAACAAACAAGAAAAGGATGTTATCAAACGACAAGATGTGATCTTCGGTCAGTATGCTCAAAATTCTTCTAAGATCCCAGGTTCCTGATATAAAGATGCTACTATAAAATGTATTAGGATCTCCAGCAAAATGAAATAAAAATGCACAGCACTTCAGAAACCAGAATTAAGGACTTGTTTCTAATTTGACATCTTGCTTTTGACTAGTCTGTGAAAAAGTGAGATTAGCAGTGTTCGTATAGCTTTCTACAGTGGACCCTCGACTTACAGACGGCTCGACTTACAGACTTTTCGAGTTACAGACTTCTCTGGCTGCAAAATTTAGATTCGACTTGCAGCCGGAGAATCGACCTACAGACCAGAAAAAAAACGAAATGGAACAAAAATAGAATAAAAACTGCCAGTTGTGGGATTAATCAGTTTTCAATGCATTGTAGGTCAATGGAGATTCGACCTACAGACTTTTCGACTTACAGCTACCGTTCCAGTACAGATTAATTCCTTAAGTAGAGGGTCCACTGTACATGCTAGCATCAAAGAACATGTATCCTATCTGGAAGTTGAATCATGGCAACTGGACTTCTTTCTTGTTAGGTTGAAATGTTTCCCTAGTCACCCAGGTAGTTTCTTCAGTCTGAGGACAGTTGGTAGGAGATCCCTGATATATCCAGAGGATATATTGGGGATCTCCTATCAACTCACCTCAGACTGAAGAAGTTACTTAGATGACTAGGGAAACGTTTCAACCTAACAAGAAAGAAGTCCAGTTGTCACGACTCAACTCCCAGATAACCTTGCTTGGATGACTGAGAATCTTCAGAGAAACATGTATCCCAATTAAATATTGTTTAGTATGCATCCTTAAAGTATTATGGTTCAAGAAGAGAACACAGGTGGGACACAGCTGTGGGATCTGCAACCATATACTGCAGCGTAGTGTTCTCATTCAAGATTCCAGACAGACAGATGGTTTTAATTATACTCCATTCCAGTGCTTTGAGAAACATGTATCCTAATTAAATATTGTTTAATATGCATCCTTAAAGTATTATGATTCAAGAAGAGAACACAGGTGGGTCACAGCTGAGGGATCTGCAACCATATACTGCAGTGTAGTGTTCTCCTTCAAGATTCCAGACAGACAGACGGTTTTAATTATACTCCATTCCAGTGCTTTCCTCATAAGTTTTCTACCACCTCTGATCTACACTTCTCATCATTACGAGCCCCTTAAGCATTCTTAAGTCTCATTGGGCAGTTTTCATTTCTCCTATTTCCCCATGAAATTCTTTGTTGCTGTTGTTATGGCTTGTTGTTGTTTTGTTTCTTTTGGGGACCGTGGGGTTCCCCCAAACACAAGGACTTGTGGGGTGCTGGTACCCCTCAGGCCCAGCCATCCCACTTGTGCCTGCCTGTTTACCAGAGACAGTGGGTCTACATGTGTGTCTGTGTTCCCACTTTTGCCCCAGCTCCTCCTATCATTGGTTATTGTGCCTTCCACTCCACCAACCAGCATGGCCACCAGCTGCTCCTGCCAGCCCATACCTCATTCTTATATCCAATAATCCTTTATTCAATAATGGATAGTTCCATTATTGCCACAGCGAATGAGTTCCTGGTTAATATATAGAATGTCTGATGTGCGTTACTCCACTGTGCACTTTCTTCCTCTTCATTGCAGAGCTGATGCAAACTGAAGTGCATCACATCCATACCCTGTTCATTATGTCTAAAATATTCAGAAAAGGAATGAAAGAAGAACTGCAAATGGACCATAGCACAGTGGAGAGAATATTCCCCTGCTTAGATGAATTGCTAGAATTTCACCAGCAGTTCTTCTGCAGAATGAAGGAAAGACGACAGGAATCAGCTGAAGAGGGAAGTGACAGAAATTTTGTGATCAGCAGAATTGGAGACATTCTTGTGCAGCAGGTGGGGCACTGGGCAGAATTATACTCCCATCACAGCATTTGGGATGGGAGTATAGAGAAAGATGTAGCCATTCACTATCAGCAAATGGGGTACCTGAATGTTTTAGCCAGAGGGTGGGAACTTCTGGCCCACAAGGCAAAATGGAGTCCATGGGAAATCTGAATCCAGGCTGTGAGTTGTCCAGAGGTAACTGCTCTTTTGCCCAAGACCTTATCACCCTCTCAATTGATCAGAGATAATACATAAGTCTGACTACTGATCTTCCCATTTAGGAAGATGAGTCAGGTGGGTGGTTCCATTATATCTATCCGATCCCACTAGGTTAAAATGCCCGCCTACACTTCAGCCTGGAAGCCAGTGACAACAGGAGCATAAGTGTATCTCCTGGTCTCATTCAGCCCTTGATAGGTGGGTGGAGGCATCTGTCTTGGCTCCTTAAATTGGTTCATCACTACATCTTATGGGATCACTAATAAGGTAATGGACATTTCTTCTCTGTAATGAAATTGGACATGACAAACAGCCACATTTAAATGGAAACTGTAAACATAACCAAATCTTCCTGTTTGAATTAGCAGTAGCCACAGTAGGTTGAAACAGATTCCAAAATGACTATCTTATTCAAGTGAACATGCAAGTCTCTACATGTCTGCACAGAAATATGTCCTACTGAGTTCACTCAGACTTTCCTTGGTGAAGTGAGTGTAGAATTACAGGCTAAAATACAAATCAGTTGAATAAGGCTGGGTTGTTTTAACAAAATGTGAATTTTCAGCTAGAAAATTAATTTTCCTAATAGTATTTGTATATCTGGATATATTTTTTTGAATGTTCATTTATTAAATGTTCATTTAGACTTTTCCATTGAGTGTGTTAATGGCTGCTACTGTAAGCATAACAACATAAGAAGCTAAGTTATTTTTCCCTAACCTGGCCCCCTCCAGTTGTGTTGGGTTAGAATGTCTGTCACTCCAGCCAGCCTAGTGACCGGGAATCTTAGCCCAGAGGCTGCTGTAGTTCAATGTATATCTGGAGGAAAGCAAGTTAGGAAAGGCCTGGCAAAGCATTGGCTAGGCATGGGAACTGACTTATCACCTGAAGTAGCAGCTCACAAAAATGATTGGTCAATGATGTACTTGGCATCATTAAATTCTCTGCCCTGTAAATCCCTTTAGTCTTTAGTTAACATATTTTTCTGTAAATGGAAAAAAAGCACAAATAATTGAGTTCTGTAAATGCATGTAGGTACAGTAAGATGTTTCACTACTTGCTCTGTATAGTTCGTACTTTTGAAAATACATAAAATTTCAATTGGAAGGGCAGTAAATAGATGGATAGACACCAACAATGCAGCAATATGTGGTTTGTCAACACAGACAGTGTAAAAGCCTTAAATAGTTTAAAATCACTGCTTCAGATTGCTGCTTTGCATCAGTTTTCAGAGGAGAATGCCAACAAAATGAAGACTATATATGGGGAATTTTGTAGCCACCAGAAAGAAGCAGTCAGCCTTTTCAAAGAGCTGCAACAAAATAAAAAGTTCCAGAACTTTATCAAAGTAAGTTGATGATTGCAGGTGAGTTACTGCTACATGAAAAATTGTCTGAATAGACCTTGAACAGATATACACCTATCTGAGAGTTGGTAAAGCAGAATGGCTCCGTGACTGAGCTATGAATCAGGAAGTGTCAAGACTGAAACTTGGCCATATACCTGGTGGATGGCATTAAGCTTTTTCTTAGCCTTATCCCTCTCACCCAACCAGCTTACAATCTTGGGAGTAATACTGCTCACTGCCCTTATAGTAGAGGTGGGGAACCTAAATCTTTAGGGCCAAATCTGCCCTCCCCAAAATGGCAATCTGGACCCGTAGGGTTCCCCAGATGGCTCCTCCTCTTTTCCCATGACACCATTCTTTGGGGATTTCCCAGCTTTTGCACAGACGGTTTCCCATTCCCAAAATTTGAAATGCCTTTTCTAAAGTTTAGCGGATGATTGCAATAAAATCTGTAAGCTAAAACAGGATGATATTTGTGGTCCCACCCCTACACCTACCACTGGAATGCCCTTTCCCATCCCACTTATCTAAAATTGAAATTGGACCGAGAGGCTTCCCATCCATACTTACAGGGTTGGGGTAAAAAAGTACAACTTAATAAAGCTCTTTGAACATGGGGAAAGTGCTACCACATGTTAAGTGTTATCATTAGAGCAGTACTTTAAAAAATCAACTTGAATTGATTTAGTGATATGGGCACAAAAATTTTACACCAAGAATGCTTGACATGTTAGTTTGGTTGGCTGTTCTGGAACTGGCCCCCCTGCATTCAGTAAGGCTCTTACAAAATTTAATACAAAATATGTAACTTCAGTTACGCTGATACAGTGAACTAGCTTATTGCCTATGCAAGCTGGGGAAAGAGACTGACAGATTAATACAAAGCAGGAAAAAAGGGGGTCGCTTTCCTTCACTTACCAGAGGAGGAAGAAGTTACACAAAAAAATATATTTAATGTGTCAAACAAGGGCCTATTTTTTTAAAAAAAACTGTCTCTTTTTAAAGGTAAGAAACAGTAATCTATTGGCTCGACGTCGTGGAATCCCAGAATGCATTCTGCTTGTTACTCAAAGAATTACGAAGTACCCAGTTCTAGTAGAGAGAATACTGCAGTATTCCAAAGGTGAGCAATAATTTGTATCCATGTTTTGTGAGGCATTGTCAATTTTTACACCACTAAGGACATTAGAGCTGAGTAAGCAAAGTGTTGTCTAGGGGCTACATTTGGCTGTTCAGAGCAGTGTTTTTGAGGGGGAGGGTGGAGAAGGGCGGTAGAAGAAAAAGCCTCAAACCCACAGGGGTTATCCACCCCTGCATTGGAGACATCAAAGGTATCTTCCTTGTTGTCTCTCAATTTATGAACAGAAAAGTATCCACCCAGAGTAAAGAAAGAATGATAGCTTTTACTCATTGACTAGACCAGTGAGTGTCTCCATGATTATTGAGGCCCATTCCAACTGCTGTATTCGTAATTCTATAAGAAAGCATTCCAACTTATGTTTCTCCCAGACACAAACATAATCCAATCCTCTGTACAGATTTCTCAGCTCTTCAAGACCGGCACAGGGTCTCACTTTGTCAGAAATGGAATGTACTAACATAGGATACCTACCATACACTGTTGATCCAGCGATCCCAGTGTTGGTAGTGACTGGCGGCAGCTCTCCAAGGTTTTAGGGAGTATCCTTTCCTAGAGATGCTGAGGATTGAACCTGGGACCTTAAACCTTGGAAGTTTTCAAGCTGAGCTCAAATCAGCAGAGGCAGGCCAACCCCCAGCCAGCCCATTCCTACCTGCCTCCTTGCAAGATGTGAAAGGTCAGGAATTTGCTTGTGTTCTCTTCTCCTCCTTCTTTGTGTATTCATGAACTCTTGCATGCTTGAGCATCCAAGTGATGATATATATGTTATGGATACCTATTTCAGCCTCTGATTCTGCCTGTTGTCCCCAGGCGCCACTGATCAGTTCTGTGCCCTCTGTCAAGCTCCATAAATCACAATTGGCACCAGCTGTGATATTGATTTATACTGGCCTTAAAAATGGCTGTGGACATGTACAATTTTGCTGCAGTAATAAGCTACTGAGATTGCAACATACTGTATGACTGATTAGAAAGTAGTGTAAATAGTCTTCTGCAGGAGGGGAAGGGAGACACCTTTGCTGTAGGTACACTCCTAGTATGCCTTCAGAAAGCACATTATGGTAACATTAGACAGAGAAATGAGCTTGCATAGAATGCAACTCCATCCAACAAAGAGTGGTTAACATCCAAAGGTACAAGCCCCTTCCAACTCTGCCCTGTTGTTCTTATATACTATAACTAAGAATAAAGACACCCATCAGCCAATCCAAGCCTAACATTCTCAGAACCTTCTGGAATATTGGTGAACTTTTTTTGTCTGGGAAGGCAGGTGCAGTGAATTGGCAATTAGGGACTTTACACTTTGGCTCATGATCAGAGTGACCTTGGTCCATACTTTCGTAAGATAACGCTGGAGCTTTTCTCAGGGGAACAGTGTTGGCAGGAAGCAGGTTGATATCAGCTAAAGATGGTCATGAAACTCCACAATAATTAAAGTAAAATGAACTTGAAAGGTAACTGTTGGGGTTTTTTGTTTGTTTGTTTTTGAGAAGATATGAAATTAATTTGTAAAGTTATAGCTATAACAGTAAGTGCTTTTGTAGTATAGAGCAATGGTAGTCTGCAGGTACTTTTTGAAAAGGAACTTTTCAAGCTCTGCTCATTTGTTTAAGATTTGCAACCTGGTGAGTCAACTGAAGGTATTATTCAGGCTCATGTTTACATCAGTACTGAAAGTGGAGAGAGGGGAAGTGTGTTCATGGAGAATCTGTAGGTGACTTCAGGACATTGCAGCTTGAAATGACTGGATTTCTTACTGCAAAAGTAAAACACGTCCTTTGTATAAATAATGAAAAGCTATGTCAGAACATTACAAAGAATAATGTGATGCCCTTGTATAAACAGGCAGGCACAATGGCAGAGTAGTTGTTTAAGGTATACAGTGCATATAAGAGATAAATAATTCTAAAAATGACATTTCATTCAGAGCTTGAGTGCCAGGATAGGATGGGAGTCCAGCCCCCATAACTTGTGTGACTTCCTCCTTAGCCACTCTTGCTGATTTCAGCAAGGACCTCATGACTTGAGCACTGATTTTATAGCTTGATACTACAACCTACCATACAAGCAAGTGCTTAGATTCCCAGTGCAGTCCCTCCGCCCTTGTTCAACCTATCATCTGTGAATAAGGGTGCCAATGTAGTAGAGATATGTATTATCGAAGGCTTTCATGGCCGGGATTCAATGGTTGTTGTAGGTTTTTCAGGCTGTCTGGCTATATTCTTGAGGTTTTCTTCCTAACCTTTTGCCAGTCTCTGTGGCCGGCATCTTCAGAGGAGAGGAGTCAGAACTCTGTCTATGCTCTGATTCTGACTCCTGTTCTCTGAAGATGTGAGCCACAGAGACTGGCAAAACGTTAGGAAGAAAAACCTCAAGAACACGCCAGACAGCCCAAAAAACCTACAACAACCAGCAGTTAGAGATACTCTGTTTTAAGAGTGTCCTCCTAAAAATCAGATGGGCAAGAAGTCCAGCAGCCATAGCTTGCATAGCGAGGCAGCAGGTAAGCAGCCGGTGCTTTTGAGCACTAATAGAATCGGAATTACATTTGTTCCAGCACAAGCATCTTATCTTGCATTGTAGTGTCAAAAGGAGAACTGGGGAATCTGTGGCTCTCTTAATGATGTTGATTCCACTTCCTATCCACCCCAAGGTTGAAGTATCATGGGAGCAATTGTGTATCAACTCCTGGAGGATTACACTTTCTCCAGCTCTGAAGAAAGACTTTGAGAAAGGACCGGGTTGCTCCTTATATCCTTTTAGCCCAGGGACTGACAACTTGGTGCCCTTTAAGTGTTCTTGGACTATTGCTCTTACAATTGCTGACCACAATCACCATGTTTATGGGAGCTGTAATCCAATACATCTGGAGAGAATTGTGTTAGCCACCCATGCTTTAATTTGTGTCAACAGTCAGGGGAACAGTAAACATATAAAGGCTGCATATATTGGATTGAAAGAGTATTTCATCGTTTAAAATATAAATATATATGCCGGCACACTGTTTTTCATATTCATATTCATGCCTTGCTTTTTAAAAATATGGATGCCTCAGAGCTTATTGAGTAGTTTTAATAGTACAATGCATTGGCTATGATTCATGCAGTGAAGTTGAAAATAATGGCCCTGCTTATTGCCTGTGAGAATCCACTCAAATTAGCTAAGGAAGAAGACTTTGCTTGATTACTTATATGTTTGTGTTTGTTTTTATTTAGAAGGGACCGAGGAACACAGAGATTTGTGTAAAGCCCTTTCCTTGATCAAGGATTTGATTGCAGCAGTTGATTTGCAAGTCAATGAGTATGAGAAAAAACAAAAATTGCTGGAGATCCTCAGTAAAATTGAAAACAAAACATATACAAAGTTAAAAAATGGGCATGTTTTCAGGAAGCAAGATTTGATGAAGAAACAGAGAACACTTTTGCATGAAGGTTTAGTCTATTGGAAAACAGCTACAGGACGTTTCAAAGGTGCCCTGCAATTTAAGTTCCTTATGTGTTCTTACGGTGGTGAATAGCTGCTTTTCTGTGGTTTTTAAAGACAGCATGATTTCATTTTCAAATCTGAGTTTCTGAGTTAATGTCATGGAGGAGTGTCCTGCAGAAATATATACAGTATATATTATTTATAAATAAGTTTATAAATACAGTATATTTATAAATACAGTATATATTATTTATATATTAGTGTTCATATATGTATGCAGAAATATATATATGGGAGCCATTCTCGGGTGATCTCACCACTATGGAATTATTATACTTCCCATAGCAGTGGTGCTCAGAGAAGAATGTCAGGAAACAATCTCAGTAGCTTTCCAGATTGGTTCAAGAAAAGGTGATCCAATAAGAATTGGTAGAGTTTGTGAACCTGAAATTTACATTTTCTCTTAAAATAAGGAATGAAATATATTACAGACATTTTTAGAATGTGGTTAGAATTCCCATGGCAGTAGCTCTTCACCCACAGAGCTTTTACCAGATGTAACCATAGCTTGGTGCATGGATGGCTGAGTTCCTCTGTACTGGCCAAGAGGTAACAGCACCCAACGTTAGTTAGTTTCTCTATTTCTTTATTCCTTCTTTGGATTGCAGCTCCTGAAATGCTGCAGTCCTGCATGCTGGGTGCTGACTTTGTGCTTACTTTTCTGTGGTCCAAAAGTAACTGTTCCAAGCTCTGCCTCTGCTCCCTTCCCAGTTGTAGATGTAGGAGGAAAGAATATACTGTGAATACTTTTTTAAAAAAAATGTGTTTCATTTTTTCATGCTATATACAGTACAATGAGAAAAGAACTTAGAATATCCCTTTCTTTTCTTTCCAAAAGATATATTAGCTCTGCTTCTTAGTGATGTGATGTTGTTTTTACAAGAAAAGGATCAGAAATACATCTTTGCAGCTGTTGTAAGTATGAATGTCCAGACATGTTCACTGTACTTATGGATTATAAGCAGCACGCTAAATGGGTATTGCAATTGTAATTGTGCTTATCTGAGATTTTTGGTTTAGCATTTGTAAATGTTGCAATTCTGCATTGTTTATCTTTGTAGTTAGTTGCATCTTTTTTTCTTTTGCATCAGAATACGCATCATGAAGAATGCAATTAAAATTTAATATACTAAATACAATATATTTATTTTATTTAAAATGTGTATGTGTTACCCAGTTTAACAAATTCCCAAGTATGCTGTAAATACAGTAATTTAAAATGTACGAAGCTCTGCAACTGACCTTGCACACACACTTTATATAGCTTATTTATAAAGTTTATTGTAAGTAATAAACATTGGGTATGATGCTGGCTGGATAGTTGAGTTAGTTGAAGTAGCTGTTTGCGGATCCAGAGGCTGGGGGTTCAAATCCCCACGGTACCTCTAAAGAAAGAGTTAAGCCGAATTCATTCTGTAGTGTATGTGGCTGATGGGATTATGTGCCCTGCCAATTGTGTGCCTGTGGGCAAGCTGCATGTTTCTAGTGCACCTCATGAAGAAGAGACTGGTGAACATCTTCTGAGTGTATTATACCTAGAAGACCCTAGGAAGGGACACTGTAAGTCATAATTGACTTCAAAGTACATAATTATTAATTATTATGATTATGAACCAAATTGAAATGAACTAAACATTTTCAGTCCACCTGTACTTCTGAACATCAGCTTACAACATGCTGCGGTAGATTCTGAGAGCATAAGAAGGGATACTTGGTGGAAGAAGAATTGCTTTTTCTTTCTCCACGAAGGGAAGCAATTTTGTGAGGTCCAAACTAGACAACACACTCAACATATAATTAGAACAGATACTTCTTTGAATGATGCTTTTTTCACCTCCATATCTTGCATTCCATGATATTTTGTCTCATGATTGCTCATTAGAAAATGAATATGGCTTACTTTCGAGGTCTGATTGCTGAAGTCTGCTTATTACGTGCTATCAAGTTGTTTCTAACATATGGCAACCTTATGAAGGGGTGACCTCCAAAAAGTCTTATCAGTTAACATCCCTGCAAACTCAAGGCTGATACATTCTTTATTGAATCAGTCCATCTCATAACTGAGCTTCCTCTTTTCCTGCTGCCAACTTTTTGCAGTATCATTATATCTTTCCAGTGCATATTTGAAGAAATCCAATTACTGGAAATGCAGATATTAATTGCAGGGGAAAATATACTTTTCTTAATGCCTACTTTGCTTCTCAGTGGAAGCATTTATTGATCAACTAAAGTTACACTTACCCTGTTAAATATTGTGTCAGCAAAGGCATACTGGCTGAGTTCTGCTGTAACAATAACCCAGAATTATGATTAATTCCAGAGCATCATTCTTTACCACCATAATCATAAACAATTTTTTATTATCTCTACACCCCAGGATGAGTCAGTATAGTAACCAGAAAGTAATGAGGGAGTCGAAGTCTCCTCTTCTTGTCTCTCCCCTAAGAAACCAGGAATGGGAAACCCATTTTAAACCATAGTTTCAGGTTCTGGTTTATTAGTGAACAACAAACTAGGAGTCTAGATTTAGATGTAATGGAAAGGGATGGCTTCCTTGTTATTTTCTGCTTCTTTAGCAGCTCCTGTAGGTGGGAGGGGCCATCTTGGAGTGATTGGGTAGCATACTGTACATGCCATGTTGCTTATCTATAATAAGCCAAATTTATCCAATATTCTGGTTTGCTCCCATATCTAAATGTTGTCATAAGGTGTTTTGTACATAATTATTCTCCAAACTGCTTTGTGATAGTGGAGTTCTTTCATTCAGTGGACATTGTGATTTGTGATTTCTTTGATCTAGGACCAGAAGCCAGCTGTGATAGCCCTCCAAAAGCTTATTGTCAGAGAGGTGGCCAATGAAGAGAGAGGGATGTTCCTGATTAGTGCATCATCCACAGGACCTGAGATGTACGAAATCCATACCAGTTCCAAAGAGGAGCGTAGTCACTGGATGAGGCAGGTGCAGGAGGCAGTGGAAAGGTACAAGAAGGCACTTTTACCATTACTTTTAATGATGGCAGCTGGACTGCATTTCAGCCAGCATGACGAATCCATATTTAGAACAACATGGCCTGCTGTATTAAATACAAATCTGTTTTGTGAACTATTCTCCTTATGAAAATGGTTTTTCATAAGTATAGGTTCTTCATTCTTATTCATTTGCAGGCCTTACTCTTGAAGACATAACAGCCATTTGTTCAAGCACTTTTGAAACAACAGAAAGATGTGTTTAAGTGGTATTAAACTGCTATAAAGTGATATTGGATGGCTATGACTATATAGTGTATAAACACTGATTGTTGTTAAGATCATTAAGGCTGAAATCCTAAATACTCTTACTAGAAAATAAATCCCATTGGATTTGAGGAAATATGCATAGGATTTCACTCCAACTTTATCTGGTATTCCATTGCAAACATTTGAATTATCACAAATATGCACAATTTGTCTAGAAATATGGAATTTCCATCAACAAGCAAGCAAGCAAATAAACTTCTGTGAAAATGTCCAACATCTCAATGCACAGGTTAACCTTGCGTGGCAAAAACTGCAGAAGAGACATTTTACGCGTCTAGATTGGACTTTTCTTGCATGTTATTTCACCACCTGTACTATACATATATGTGAATGCAGAAACGGCCTGAGAGGCAAACAGTGGCTTTATTTGTTTTGTTTATTTTTCTTCCCTGAAGTTGTCCAGAGGAAGAAGGAAAAATGAGTGAATCTGATGAGGATCGAAGAATAGCTGAAGCCAGAGCAGCCAAAATCCAAAAATATCAAGGTATGATATTAGTTCAAATGCTCTTAGAATAAAACTTACCATGGCAACGCGTTACGAATGTGAACCCTGAAATTAAATGAGAGTACTTATTCCTTGTAGTGAAGAAGATCCAAGGACAAGCCTGGCAGAGTTTGGTTTCATTTTTAGGCAAAACTGTGGGAGAGTTAAAGCGCATGGCTAGTACTTTGTTTGGATGCCTTGAGGGTGTAGCCAGCACTCCCACTGGAGCATCTGATACTGCCTCGAAATTCATCCTAACTCCTGAGACAGAAGACCTGCAAGAATTGCTGATTAATTTTCCATCAGCATGGAAATTGAGCAGCTGCCAGCTGCACTTTCACACAAACTGTACTTCTGGCCACATAGGAGCCATTTAACTCCTGATGAAATACATGTACAAATCCTATGGATCTGTGGGCCTGCATCACAGAGAAATAGTTCCCAACACAGTATAAAGGAGCTCTGATATGAAATGTAGTTTCTTTGAAATGGAACCATATATCGTCTTCGTATACTTCTAATACTGTGTAAATGTTACATTTCAATCATACTTTTAACATAATAATTGTATGCCATCAAGTCAATTCCTAGTTATAGTTACCCCTTTCAGGGTTTTCTAGGTAGAGAATACTCAGAAGTGGTTTACCATTTGCTTCTTCTGGTGGCATCCTGAGACTGCAGCTTGCCTGAGGCCACCCAGGCGGGCTCTTCTGTGATGCAGCTACCTTTAAGATAAAGTACTGTATATGTCTCAGTGAGTTGGGTGCCTGTCTGTGGAGCCACAGGTTGGGAGTTTGAGTCCTCGCTGTGCCTTCCAGGCAAAATGGATATATTAAAAGTATGTGTCATGAATGAACACAGGTAATTGACAGAATCTAGCTTGTTTTTCATTTGCTGTTTTTTTTTTAAAAAAAAGAAAAACAACGTTGGGATAAAATAATGTTAGGATTTCACTGCATATTGAAGTTAATAATTATTATAATCACCATGGTTATTAACTATTATGCATGATCTTATATTATTACAGTAATCTTGAATAATCAGGACCAGCAAATCTGCAGCTACTTGGAAGAGAAACTTAATATATATGCAAAGCTTGGTGATATGAGTGGATTCGAAGATGTTCATGTAGAGCCACACCTGCTTATAAAACCTGACTCTGGAGAAACACCCCAAGTAGCCTCAATTCTGGCTGCAGCTCTCAAGGAAGGTATGGCTGTCTATGTACACACCACTCATTTCCTAATGCATGCCTTTTTCAGCACTCTTTATTGTTCATATTTTGGATTGCCTCGGGTTTTCCTGTAATATGTATTTTTCATGTTTTTCCAGTACATGAGCTCATATTTCAGAGTTCATGGGCAAATCTTTGTGTCATGTTAGTTGTGCATGATAGGAAGCAAACTTTTCTCACTCAACCAAATGCTTCATAAAGGAAGTATCTATTGCTCTGGATTTGTGCATATGTGAATTAGACATGGACTTGAATCAGAAAAATTGTGATTCATTTTTATCTTGATTTGTCAACATCCATGAATCACAAATTAAAAATCTATGAATTTTTTTCTGACAAGTTGATTTGTCAGTTTGTTTTTGACTTTAAAACTCTATGAAATCCCCCCCCCAAGTACCTGGAGACATCAACTTCACATAGAAACTTCCTCTGACTCTCTACAAGCCCTGAAAGTTTGATGAAGTTTGGGTTTTGGATGTCTGAGTTATACACCCAACAAGGAGGGCCCACCCACAAAAGTTCCCCTCAGGCACCTAGAGACACCAAAATCACTGAGTAGCTTCCTTTTCTCCTTTCCTTTTCCTTTTCTCTTTCTCTATCTTTTTTTCTTTTCTTTTTTTTTGTATATCACCATCTTGGAAACCTTTTGCTTAGAACTAATTAGTATAAATGCATTTTATGGGTTTTTTAACTTGTTTTAACTGATGTAAGCCGCCCCGAGTAGACGTTGTCTAGAGGGGCGGGGTAAAAATCGAATAAATAAATAAATAAATACTGACTCTCCTCTATAATCTCTCTCAAGTCTAGTGAAGATTGGGTTTCCGACATTCATGTTATACACCCACAAATTGAGTTCCCCCAGGAAATTGTCCTTTAGCAGCTGGCTTGGCGAAACTCAAACATCACCAAACTTGGAAGGATTGTAGAGGAGTTCAGAAGAAACTTCCCTGCGATTTTGGTTCCTGGGGGACAAACAAATCAAGAAATCAAACGTTTCTAAAAATGGGGGATTGATTTGTACAAATATGATTCAACAAATTAGTGATTTAATATGCTTTTACCTTTGCGTACAAAGAAATCTGGACGTTTGGAGTGGTTATCAGTGCTGTTGTACCCAGCAAGTCCTCTCACCAGTAATAGCTTGCAAAAAAATTATTTGTCAACCAGTAATACTTTCTTAAAAGATCAGTATAAAGAGACAGGGAAAATCAGTGTAAACCTATCAGTGTTTTATCCAATATTAGTCCAAATCCTCATACATTAGTTGCGCTGGTATAGGACAAACAGCATAACTTTTGTAGTAGAATTGCACTGAGTTAAGAAATCACTGTAGACATTATCAGTTATGTATGGAGTTGTGTGACTCAGTGTGCAATTGATAATGTCTACAGTGATTTCTTAATCTTGGCGAAATTTGCTTCAAAAATTATATAATTTGTGTAGCTACACAAGGGGATTTTGGCCATCATGTATTTTACATTTTTAAAAATGTTTCTTCATCATTTTTCTGGCCATAAACACCCCCAAAATAATGAACAACATAAAAAATTATTTAAAAACACATAAAAGACTATTCAAGTTTTTTTAAAGCCAACATTCTTTTTAAAAAAGATCAAGAATAGTTAAACCCAACATTAAAGCCAGTTTAAACACCAGAGTCTAAATACTCTTGGCTCATTTCCGAAACACCATAGAGATGGAGCTATCCTGACTTGTGATTATGTCAGGAGAGTTGACATAAACCAAAATAATTTCCTTTTGTGAGATAGTATTTTTAAAGTAAAAGAATCAGGTAAGACAGCCTGACTCAGCATCATATTTCAGTGTCGAGCACTATTGTGAATTATCAATTTTGTTCACCTTAGGAAAATCCCTGTGCTTATTAGAATTTTCACACACTGGAATCCTGTGTGTGACACACTGGAATGATGTAACACAACACCATTGTAAATGTATTGGGTGTTCTACCACAGCAAAAAGGACTGTCCAAGTAAATTGTGCAATTGATTGCATGCAATTGATTGACAAATTGCACAGTGAGCCCCCAGAAGTGCTTTCTGTCTTGGCCCAATTGTTGCTGCTGCAGGTGTTACTCAGTGTTGTTACACCTGCAGACCTGCTCGACAAGATGTTAGCCCAGGAAACAGAGTTCCATCTAATGTCATGTGATCACAACAGGGACTCTCTTTCTTCCTCTCATCCTCCCTACAGTGTTATCCCCAAATGAATTTGGAGGTCAAACAGGAGAAAGGGGGAATCCATTCTGCCAGTGGTATCTGTTGTTCTGATGGGGTGGAAATAGTTGGAGATAATCTATCACTAAAAGAGCATTATATAAATATGACCTATATCAAAATGATACAAATAATCACTCATATCTTATTCATTTCACTTGGAGAAAAGAACAGGTTTGAACAAAGAGGTCCTAGTTGTATCATAATTACCATAAGAAAAATCTGTTGCATTCACTGGTCACAGGGCTGCACGCTGAATTAAACTCCAAACCTTTCATTCTCTCTGCAGCAGAAAACCTCCACATGGCTGTAAAATTAACACAAGGAAATGACTCAGAAGAGAATATTGGAGAAACTTGCCTGAGAAATCACAGCGAAGCTGAAGTCTGTGAGTCTTTCACTGATTGTTAGTAAGAGCTAATCTTCTATAGTGCTCCAACCAGCTTGCTACTTTATTCAATTTTCTTTTCAAATATTAAAAAAACAGGATTGACAAAGAGAAACAACTCATGGAAAATAAGCACCTAGTGCCGAGTCATCTGATATACGTATTTCTTAGCTGTCCTCTGGCAGTATACAGTGGTGCCTCACTTGACGACGATAATCCGTTATGTTGAAATCGCTGTTAAGCGAAATCGTCATCAAGCGAATTTTTAAAAAAACATTGAAATACATTGAAAACCGTTCAATGCATTCCAGTGGGCTAAATACCTGCTCGTTTTGCAGAGATCCTCCATAGGGCGGCCATTTTCCGGTGCCTGTAAAGCGAGGAATCCATCCTAAAGCACAGCGGGGAGCCATTTTGCACAGCTGGCGGCCATTTTAGAGCTGCCGGTCAGCTGTTTTAGAATCATCGTCTAGAGAAAAATCGGTTTCCGAAGCACGGGACCGATCATCGTCAAACGAATTTTCCTTATCTAAACATCGTTTTGTGATCACTATTGTCATCGCAAAAACCTCATCAGAAAGCGGATCCATCGTTTAACGAGGTAATCGTTAAGTGAGGCACCACTGTATTCAGATGGAACTATGTAATGTGTGAAAGCAAATATGCTTATGGTTGGTATAAAACCTCATCAGAAAGTGGATCCGTCGTTTAACGAGGTAATCGTTAAGCAAGGCACCACTGTACGTAATGTGTGAAAGCAAATATGCTTATGGTTGGTATCAGTTCCCATCTTGAGTTGAATGCAAATTATTGCTCATAATGTAAATAATTATGCGTTGTCAAGTGCATTCTGAGTGACGACAAGCCTCCCAAGGTTTTCTAGGTATAAAATACTCAGGAGTGGTTTACCACTCCTTTCTTCTAATGGTGTCTGGAATGGGGCAGGCGCTTGCCAAAGGCAATACAGATGGTAGGGCACATAACCCAATCAGCCATACCTAATCCAGGTGATCTTGGTTGGTCCCCTCCCAGGAGGCACAGTTGGGATTCAAACTTTGCGTTCCCAGCCTTGCAGACAGGCATTCCAGCCTACTGAACAATACCAGCTCTGTAACTGTACCCAAATACAGTATTGGTAAATTACATTTGCCTATCTTAATGTAGGCCTATGAATACAAGATGGTTGGACGGTGTCACTCTAGGAGGCAGTGGAAGATAGGAGGGCTTGGCGTGTTCTGGTCCATAGGGTCACAAAGAGTCGGACATGACTTAACGACTAAACAAGTGTCACTCTGGGAGGCAGTGGAAGATAGGAGAACTTGGCGTGTTCTGGTCCATGGGGTCACAAAGAGTCGGACATGACTTAACGACTAAACAACAACAACAACATGAATAATCATGGTGGTTTGCATAGTCAGAATATCCATTTTGGGTTTTTTTGCCTGTGGTGCTCATGCATCATGATATGATAATATAGCTGACACTGTCATGGTGATTTGCATAGTCAGAATATCTATTTTGTTTTTTTGTTTGTTTTTTGCCTGTGGTGCTCATGCATCATGATATGATAATATAGCTGACACTGCTGAATTTATAACCAGTCATTAAATTGATGTTGCTTTAATTGCAGAATGAAAGATCAATGTACCATTCCATACCCATCTACAGTTGTGTATTAATTGACACTGCATTGGAAGATAAGTGGGGCAGAGCTTGGAAACTTAACTTTTTTGTGGGGTTCTAGGACTTGTAGTCTGAAACGTAACTTTCCTAATCTCTGAAACTGACGTTTAACAGTACTTAAGCATCATTTCAACAGTGCAAACCATCTACACCAAGAGCAGGAAGGTGAAGCAACTCTAAAGGCCCTTGTGATAAGGCACAGCAGAAACTGACATTTAACAGTACTTAAGCATCATTTCAACAGTGCAAAGTTACACCAAGAGCAGGAAGGTGAAGCAGCTCTAAAGGCCCTTGTGATAAGGCACAGCAAGTCTAGGAAAACACTGAAAATAGTAGAGCTGCATCATGATGGAGCTTCCTGGACTTTTAACATGTTGCTTCCCCATTATAGGTATTGGGGTAAAGTCCCCACTCTGTTGGAAGGGATGTCCATAAACATGAATTGCAGTCTGTATTTAGTTTTGCTTTTGAAGGGGAAAGAAACCAGGAATTGACACCCAAAATAATTTTAGTGTTGTATTCATTTAACATTGTATCTCTTAACCCACACACTTTCTTGATGGTTTTAATCACTAGTTGCAGAACAAAAGGTAGAGAAGGAGCATTGTGATTCAGATCTTCAGGATACAAACTGTGTAACAGAAGCTGACCTGTTAGACCAGGTACTTTACTTGATGTACTTCTTTTCATCTGCATCTGTACACTGCACTTGGAATATATGCCCAGTCCATTCCCCACAATTATTTCCAACTATCCTAGCTCTAGTTCCTTTTTTCCCACCCTTATTCTCATTATTTTCCTAATCCTAATTGGAAACAACAGCAAAAACAACACATACACATTGCATTGTAAGTTGTGATAAACAACTAGCATGAGCCATTTGAAAACTACAACTTTACAGACAATAAAATTGATTCACCAGAAGGTGGCACTGTAGCTCTACACAAAGACTAATGCAAATGTTTTTTGTGTTTCTTGGTTTTTTTTTGCAGGAAGAAAGGATATGCTTGGGTGCTTCTACGCCAATGGAGGTGAGTTGTGTTGATTCCAATATAAAGTCTATTAGTATTATTTGCCTTTAATTGACTGTAATACTGAAAAAAATCCTTTCTCTTCTCCCATATAGGTTGTACAGACTATCCAGAATTTAACTCGCCTGTTATACAGCATACAGGTGATAATATTGCCCAAGTCCACCCGCAGGTTTCTTTTCCCAGATTTACAAAGAAACAATTAAATACTGTGTTCCATCTCTCTATGGCTAAAAATGTTCTCTGGATTCTAGCCTGTTCTTAAAATGAAAGGCCTTCTCTTATCTTTAACGGGTTGGCTGGATGAAATCATACTGGTGTTTGTGTAAAATTTGCATAACTTACTGCAGGTAGTTGCAGTAGTTTGATTAGGTTGTAGGGCACATCTAGGTTGCATAATCATGCATATGACCAGACAAGCAAGTAAGAGACCCTGGCACCTCATCAACGAACTGCAATCAGCACAGCACATTACACATACCTTACATGAACACCGGTAGGATTCTGGCAGCCCTTTACTGTCACCTATGTTGGGAAAGCAGAGGGGAATTTCTTGGATGAAATCATACTGGTGTTTGTGTAAAATTTGCATAACTTACTGCAGGTAGTTGCAGTAGTTTGATTAGGTTGTAGGGCACATCTAGGTTGCATAATCATGCATATGACCAGACAAGCAAGTAAGAGACCCTGGCACCTCATCAACGAACTGCAATCAGCACAGCACATTACACATACCTTACATGAACACCGGTAGGATTCTGGCAGCCCTTTACTGTCACCTATGTTGGGAAAGCAGAGGGGAATTTCTTGGATGAAATCATACTGGTGTTTGTGTAAAATTTGCATAACTTACTGCAGGTAGTTGCAGTAGTTTGATTAGGTTGTAGGGCACATCTAGGTTGCATAATCATGCATATGACCAGACAAGCGAGTAAGACACCCTGGCACCTCATCAACAAACTGCAATCAGCACAGCACATTACACAAACCTTACATGAACACCAGTAGGATTCTGGCAGCCCTTTACTATCACCTATGTTGGGAAAGCAGAGGGGAATTTCTTTCCCATTAGTGTTTTGCCTTCCCTGTTCTGAAATTTGGCAGAGGTTATCCTGAGACTATACACTGGAACCTGAAGTAAATGTTGTGGGTGTCAGAGAATGTATGTAGAAACACTGTCCTCTTACCACAGTAGCATGTGCATCTTCCCTTTTTCATACTTTGGGATATGAGCTAGAAGTTATTAGCTATAGATGCTTTAGCAAAGTAACATGCAAGTGTAAAAAGAAGCATTATAGCTAGCCTGTGATTTAAAAAGAAGGCTAATTGTGTGTGTACAGCAGGAGATTCCCTCATCTCCCAAAATTTCCAAATTAGTTTGCCTTGTTTGATTGTTGGTCTATAGGATTTTAGCATAGCTTTCCTTTTATGTCCAATTTTTCACATACTGCCTCACTAATGTATCTCCAACACTAATGCTCTCTGCTTTAGTCATGGGCTATCTATTTCTGGTCTCTGATTAACTGGATATGGAAGCAGTATGACAGTCACATAGTAAGGCCTGCAGCAGTGAGCACTGTGAGCTTGCATGAGAAACAGATTATTTTGGAAGCTAAAGTACAGTGGTGCCTCGCACAGCGAGGTTAATCTGTTCCGGATTAACCCTCGCTGTGTGAAAGCATCGTTGAATGGGGCAGGAAAAGCCATTGGAACACATTAAACCATGTTTAATGCCGGCCATAGGGAAGCATCGCTGAACGAACAAAAAATTACCATAAATTAACGAAGTGTCAGAACAACATCAAATTAAGTTTGCATAGGTTTCAGGAGGTGGGCTAACCATTGCAAGCATTTAAAACAGCTTCCAAACATTGTAAGACACTTTTACAGGAGCGAAAAAGGACTTCGCAAAGCCATTGAAATGTATTGACTCGGCTTCAATACATTCCAATGGAGGAAACATTGTTTCACACAGCGATGTTTCCTATGGGGATTTTCACTCAGCGATGGCAATCCGTTCCAATTGGAACGGATTAACCGGTTTTCAATGTATTCCTATGGGAAATGGTGTTTCACAGAACGATGTTTCACACATTGATTTTTTTGGAACCAATTAACATTGTTGTGTGAGGCACCACTGTATTTAAGTTATGTTCCTTTCACGTCTACAACATGCGCCTTGGAAGAGGGTGGAAGCTTACAATGCCTTTTGTTTTGATGAAAAGGCAGCCTTAACTATCCAGGACACTCACATGGAGATCCATAAGCTGCTTCTGCAGGAACATGAAAGATCCAGCTGGAGCCACAGTTGCCGTAGCCCCTCTTTGCTAGAACAAGAAAAGCACCGAAATGTTAGATCGAAGGAGGAACTCGCCAACATACAGAAACTCCAGCACCAGTTTCAGCAAGAGCAGCAGCGGTGGCACCGTGAATGTGAGCAGCGGCAACAGGAGCATGAGGCAAGAGAGAGGCTGTTGGAGGAGAAAGAGAAAGAATGCCAGAGCCAAGAGGAGCTGCTTAGCAAGAACTGGGGGCAGCTGGATCTCCAGCTGCAGGATTACCAGCAGAACCTGGAGAGGCTCATGGAGAGCCAGAGGATGGTGGAGAAAGAACGGGAAATGGTCAGACTGCAACAAAAGATCCTGCACCACTGGAAGCACAGCCGCCAAAGCAGTCTGCCTGCCGTCATCTCACCAGGAAGCAATGAGGTTTGCAATATTTTCTTCAAAGTAACATTATTTGCTCCATCTAGCAGAGTGGATCTATTCCCCTGGTGACCTTTATCCTTTTCTGAAGGACTAAGCAATACTCTAGACTCCCGGCTGTTTTTGTGAGGCTCTCCTGCTGAGTTTGGTGGTAGCCAAAACTCTCTTTGAAATAAACATTTTTTGCATTAAAGCAGGGGTAGGCAACGTTCAGAGACTCATGCACACCCCTGGGCCTTGGGGAGCCTCTTTCCTAACATCTATTTCTAGGCTTGTGCCATTCCTGATGTCAGGTTTATGCCCATTAATTCTTTTGCATAGAGACGGCTTATGCCGTTCCTGATGTCATTAATTCTTTTGCATAGAGATTCTGTTCTTTGTGTAGTTGGAACCACTCACATGCATTATAAATGATCTTTAACCCATTCTCGATGAGAATACTTCACTCTCTCAAGCCCTTGGTGGCAGGCCTATACTTCCTTACAGACAATCTCTCCATCTCAAGCAACTAGTGACACAGAACAGTCTTTGCAACATTGATACAAAAATGGGAACTAAACCCTTTTGCAAACCCAGATGCCAGCTCTATCCACACATCTACTCTGGCAACACAATTACAGTCCCCAGCAATGCCACACAAAACATTAGGAGCATGTTTACGTGCTCCTCTGCTAATGTGATTACGCCTTCCTTTGTCAACAATGTCCTTTTGCACTCTACAGTGGACCCTTGACTTACAGACGGCTTGACTTACAGACTTTTTGAGTTACAGACTTCTCTGGCCGCAAAATTTAAGTTTGACTTGCAGACTGAGATTTGACTTACAGACCAGAAAAAAACCAAAATGGAACAAAAACGGCCTGTTACGGGATTAATCGGTTTTCAATGAACTGTAGGTCAATGGAGACTTGCCTTACAGACTTTTTGACTTGAGAACCGCCTTCCAATACGGATTAAGTTCTCAAGTCAAGACCCCACTGTACATAGGGCAAACCAGACAATCTTTGTTCAAAATAATTAATGGACATAATTCTGACATCAGGAATGGCAATACACAAAAGCCCTGCCTCAGAACCTGTTGATCTATCTGGGCCTTAGAGTCCACACACACAAACACAAACTCAATCTAAATATATATTTATATATACCATCTTCATTGCCGACTTTATTTGCTCCAAATTGGGCTTTTTCCACCCAGTTTGCAGGAATCCAAGTCAAAGTAGATCTGACAGATAGTCGTCGAATATTCTCTTGAACGCCTTCAGTGTTGGAGCACTCAACATCTCTTGATGTAATTGGTTCCTTTGTTGCACTGCTCTAACAGTTATGAAGTGGGGGATGGAAAGATGTCTCAAATAATGTAATTGGTTCCTTTGTTGCATTGCTCTAACAGTTATGAAGTGGGGGATGGAAAGATGTCTCAAAATATGGCAAAAAAAAAAATCACAAGAGGACTTTTTGAACCAAACAAAATTTTGGAGAATAGGAGGTGTTGGAAGGCCTCAAGGTGCTTGGAGGGGCTGCATGTTGCCCACATTTCCTTTAACACAAGGCAGACAGGTGTGTGCCTGTTTTAAAATAAATTGTGCTCCCAGGAGTGATCCAGCTTTAAAATGAAGTGTGTGCTCCCTGTATGCCAGGTTCTGAAGCAAAAGTGTTGGTTTTAACAGATTTTTGTAGCTGCCTGCCACCATCTTTGAATAGGGTGGAAGTGGAGTTCCCTGATCTATTTGGGGATGGCAGTGTAGCTCCCTGAACCACAGAATTGGCCCATTCTTTTCTGTCTGAGGATGATGAAGTTGTAGACTGACTTAGACGATATCGGGTTGAGGTAGGCTTGGTTAGAGGAACATTACTTGGTATTCGGTAGAACATAATAAACAACATAGAGACAACGTAATAATAGAATCATTCACTTTTTTGGCACAAGACATTACATGCCAGGAAAACTTCACTCAAATCTTTTTGAATGTTTAATCAAGAGGTATGTAATATTATATCTGGCATCATATGAACTTGCTAGATTCTGCTTGAGTCTCTTCTAGACCAGGGGTCCCCAACTCCCAGTCCACAGCCTGGTGCCAGTTGGTGGCCTGGGCTGGGCCGGGTTGGGCCGGGCTGCGGAGACAGATCTCCCACCACCTTGCACGCATTCCTACCCCCACACAGCCCCTTTGCACATGGACGTGAGTTCTCCCAAGTGCCCCCAACCCTTCACAAGTGTGTGTGAGGGTCCCCTGAGCACCTCCGATCCTTCGTGCCTGCATGCGCATGTCCTGCCCCTTTGCGCATGCACATGAGTGTGCCCATGCAAGAGCGCATCTGCTCCTTCAGGCATGCACACGAGCGCAGGGGTATGTGCCCTGCCTTCCCCAACAGGTCCATGGAGTTAAAAAGTTTGGGGACCACTGTTCTAGACAACATATCAATAATTTTTTTTCATTCTGATTTTCCCCTTTTTCGAAGCTGATTAATGACATGAGAATATAGGAAATTGATTACTAATAGCAGGTATACCTTTCAGCTTAGGGATGTGATGGCGCTGCGGATTAAACTGCAGAAGCCTCTGTGCTGCAAGATCAGAAGGTCAGCAGTCATAAGATCGAATCCACATGACAGAGTGAGCTCCTGTCGCTTGTCCCAGCTCCTGCCAACCTAGCAGTTTGAAAGCATGCAAATCCGAGTAGATAAATAGGTACCACCACGGTGGGAAGGTAACAGCATTCCATGTCTAGTCGCACTGGCCATGTGACCACGGAAACTGTCTATGGACAAACGCTGGCTCTACAGCTTGGAAATGGGGATGAGCATCGCCTCTTAGAGTCAGACATGACTGGATATTTGTCAAGGGGAACCTTTACCTTTACCTTATGCCTTTCAGCTGCTTAGATTACTTTTTGTTTTATTGTTTACAGATCATGAGACATTATCAATCGGAGAGTTTTTGCAGTGAAAATTCAGTCTTCATAAAAGAAGCCATAGTGCAGATGTCATTAAATCACCTCAACAGATCAAATTCAGCTTTAGCTTACCAGGATAGCGTGCGTGGTATAAATCTACCAAGTTCAGCTATATCAAGGACTGCAGAAAATCAGATCAAACTCAACATGGACACTTCTTGTCAGCACACGTCCCCTGATGATCTCTCAAAATCTACTGGACTCTTCCATCATATCTCCAGCTCCAGCACAAGCCACACAGATGTTTGTAACAATCGTAAGTGTTAATTTAGTTACATGCCACAGTTGTCCTTTTTGCAAGAAAAATAAGAGGGGATGTATATCTGCTGCCTCTAGATAAGTATCTAAAGCCAGTTAGTATGGCTATTGAAGTAAGTTTGAACTCAGGACTTGTTGCATCCAAAGTGAGGTATATAAGCTATATAAGCAACACACTAAAGCAATGTGAAGGTTTTTAAAGTGTGATATAGATGCTTAAATCTGGAGGCAAAAGAGGAGGTTGGCAGAAGATTTTGTAGTGGCTGCAGGCAGCCTACTTTGAGGGTGCAAGGCTGTGTCTCAGCTAGTCCTGTGAAAGTTGTCTCCTGCCAAAATTCAATGTTGATCAGAGCTTGGGGATATGATCTTTTCAGACACCAACTTCTATAATGAGTCAACATTGACACTGGCCATGTTGGCTAGGGAATCTGGAAGTTAAGAGTACAAACAAACACCCAGTCTGTATCCAGTGATGTCATTGAGCTGCAATAGCAGTTGGACATTTTCAGAGGTAGCACAAATATGGTATCTAGTGTCAGTTGTTGCTCCTGCAACTCTGCATGTGGTACAAACAATTGTGGAAATGATATGATTCAGCAAAATTATGCTATTGGGAATTTTTCACTCCAGTAGCTTTGGCGTAGAATTGGAGAGCCAGCAGGTATAGTGCATAGAGTGTTAGGTTAGCATTTTATAGACCTGGGTTCAAATCCCTGCTAGATTAAGGAAACTTGGGGGTGGGGATTGGATGGCAATGGTAAATCACTCCTTGAACATTTCACATACCTCAAAAACCCTATTAGGGTTAATAGAAGTCGTAAGTAACAGCAACAGGTGTTACAATGGGTTTATCCAATATTTCCTAGCACTAGGATGTGTGTGGTGTAGGATTCTGGTTGCTTCAGTCTGACCCCATCTCTTTTGTGCATAAGGCAATACTGTAAATGCACACTGGGAATGCATTCCTTCTGTGTAGACAAAGATGTTTTCATATAACCATACTGTTTGGGAGGCTGGCCATGGAATTTGAGTAAACCAGAGTAAAAATACTTGTTTTCTGGGAACCAGATACAGACATGGAAAACAAAGGTGAAACCAAAGTCAGTCTTCCCGTTCATGATGAATGTGGACAAATATATTGTTTCATGTCATATGAGGCTATTTGTTATTTTTATAGTCATTGCAGTAGACTAGCAAAATTTGGAAAGATGATTGAAAATAGATATCTCAATAATTTTATCTGAAGGGGGATGTTTAAATATGCATGTGTAAAATTAACTAGCAGTTTGCGTACTTTTGTTCCCTTCAGTGTTTCTTTTTTCACAAATTACACAATTTTAATTGTGTGTTTGGGGTGACATGGGAATTGTAGGTATATAGTGAAATTGATTTCCGATAGAGTTGGTATATTGAGTTTTAGTTCCAATAAATGACACTGCTAGGAATTCTTACTAGCAAAATCAATGTGTAGGAGAAACAGGGCCTGAGAGCCCATAATACAAACACTTCACTAAAGCTCAGCAGTTGTTGATTCTGTTCACTGCCTGTATGGGAGATTGCTTAGAAACCATATAGAGAGTGCTCTTGGTTTCATAAAGGTGTGGTATGATATATTCAAATAAATAAGTACGGTATAAAGGAAATATATTGATGTTATTTAGTTCCTTTAAGAGGAGAGTGGAAATATATGCTTTCCAAGTTTTCCAAAGAATTGCATTTTGTATGTGTGTACTCTTCATTAGCACACACCCATCCATATCAGGCCTCAGTCCAGACAAGCCTGGAGGAAGATGTACTGATGGAGGCAGAGGGTGGTGGTGGTTTCCCACTTGCATTCGGAACCAACAGCCTCTTTTCCATATCACAGTTATGATCCTGTTTGAGAAGTATGTGGTGGGGTGAGTTGCTTTTTGGAGGTAAAAGGGAAGGCCCTCCTAAATGCATCCCAAAAAGTGTTGATGGAGTGTAACCGAGGGGTGCCTTACTTAGAATTTAAATGGAAGTAAATTAGTTGTTGATTGATTTTGTTAAAGAAAGCCTTACCAAGGGCTTTGAGGCAAGTTCCCACAAACGCAAAGCCAATACTTGACATTACATGTTTTATAATGAGGGTGTGTCATAGCAGGAGGAGAAAAAAATGATTGAAAGACATTTGCATTCACATTAGTCTAACCATTGTTTTCTTTTGTATGGATAAATTAACAATCTGTTTAGATAATTAGGAAGAGGAAGGAAATGTAAGCTTTCATCAATATGGCTTGGAAATGAAATAAATTTTGTTCAGTTGCTCTGCCAAACTAAAGGCTTAATATGATAACCATCTATTTAGCAATACCTCCGGAACTGAGAAAGAATCTCATCCACAGTTAAGCAGCATAACGCTTCATATTTCTTAATCATCAATTGAACAAATATTTATCATGAAATGGCATTTTGCTGACTGTCTCTGACAATACTTGGATCAAAGACTTCAGAGTAGCTTTTTGAGATGACATGGTTTAGTAACAGTTTTCTATATGGTTGATGGAAACATCCAGTTCTGTATTGTGAACAGTGCACAAAGGTTTTAGATACAATTTATCTTAAAAGTGTAACACCACATTGCAATACAGTATAATCTTCCTTCTCCACGTTTCATCCATGTAACTTTCTGAAGCTGGGCAGACAATGCATTAAGAGCAGAGCTTGGAAAAATTACTTTATTGGACTTCAACGTCCAGAATCCCTCAGCTAACATGCCCAGTGATTGCGCTCACTGTAGGAGTCTTTAGGTAGTGGTTCTATGTATATATGGAGGTCTAAAGTACTGAGATGGCTTGAGAGCTGTTTCAGTAGAGTTGGTCTTACATGACCGTTCACACAAAAGCCATACAAAATGTGAATATGCTAATTTAGAATGAATGGGAGATCTGCTCCAATTTAGATGTATTTTGAAGTGGAAGCTCTGTCCCCAGTTAGATTTCTTTTATTAATGTAAGTCATTAAACTAGAGTATGCTGATGTGAATCTTTAAGTAGACGCTGTTATATATTTTGACTTTGGGGATCACCATGTGTTCTGTGCTATAATTTCCTGTCATGTCATTATCTGAAAACAACAGCTTCAGGCGAGTTTTGTAGACACAGCCACCCCCTCCCTCTCTAATCATATGCCCCATTTCTTCTCTCCTTGACACTGAAGTTAGAAACCACCATGGACACTGCATTGGTGTTTATGGGAGTGAATCTATCCCCATGGAAGTTTGACATGGATTTTCAGCCACAAACATTGTTGATTTTGGTTTGGTCTTTTATATATATATAATATAAAATATACAAGTATATTGTATATATATACAAGTATATATAATATACAATATACAAGTAAGTGTGCTGTCAAGAGATCAGTGTGATTGTTGCATGTATACAAACCAAACAGAAAGGAAAGTTCTCTGAATTATTTATTGCTGATGGTAAACTGAGACATGTCTCAGACCACAGAATGTAAAGTTTCATGTCCAACTATATTGGAGCTCCAGTTTCAGGATTCTTAGTGGAAGTGAATCATGTCAAAACTATCTCTTGGGAAATCATTCCCATTTTTCAAGACCAATAGCAAAATGATTTAAATCTTGGCAATGCAAAAACAACAGGATGGAGGGATAGTCACATGCATTCAGAATGATTCCACCTACAAAACTATCTGTCTGAACTGTTCATTTGTGGGGTGCTCACTAATCTATTTTTTCATGAAGAATGTTCATATGTTCATAGAAGATCCTTTTGGTTAGCCAGAGTAGATAAAACAGCAATGTTACACCTAACTACATGTTAGCTGAGTTGAACTATCTAATTTAAATATATATATTTAATATATATTTGCAGATATATGCATCTGCAAATTTTATACAAACGCACACGTCTATATATATGAATAAATCTGCAAATATATATTTGCAGATTTAATCTTTCCAGTTTTTAAAGGTTTAAAACAATTTTTGAATAAATACATTAATAAATTAAAAGTAAAATCCTGTTTCTTGTGAAGAGAGGTAGTAAAGAATTGAGGGTGCTCATCTTGTGGTCCTTGAATGCTTTTGGCATCTTAACTATAAGAGTCAGTGAGTTGTTTTCGTGACTTATTGATGTGGTATGGATTGCCCAAGTAGGAAGGAAAGGAAAGAGACAAAATGGCTTAAATGCATTACAACAGCCATTCCAATAATGTCGGTGACTTTAGGCAGATTATTTGCCTTTAGGAAGAAATGGCAAAGATTAATTCTGCCTTTGTGTGTATTAAAACTGGTGCATGTTTGTTCATGCATGATGATCCAGAACAGCCATAAGGGCACATTTTAAAACTTTTCTTTCTTTCTTGGTTTTCCTTTTGCAGCAGATTTAAATTTGTTATTTAAAAAATAATCTGGAAAAATAAAATGCCCATGAGCCAAGCCACCCTTTCCTTTCACAGGTCCAGACTGTGTTAAATTTGGAGCAAAATCATTTGCATGATATGAAGTACAGATGTTACCATACTATACAGAACAATATTATAGTTTGCAATTAAGAAGACGTAAGCAAGGGAAGGAATTTGATCTCATAATGATCTCTGAGCTCCTATTTGTCACAAGACTAGTAAAAACAGCTGTGATATGAGCGACTTAAAGATTTGTGAGATTTTTTCTGCTTACAGGGAAAAGATGTGCCTGCTTCAGAATGTCTTCAAATTCTTAATCTCAGTTTCATATGTACACATTACACACCATGCATAAAACTGCATGAATGCTAAGCATGTGAATTAAGGCTGCTGAATAAGGTTATAAGAGGAGATCAGAAGTTGATATTATATCTGTAATTCTGTTACGGTTTTACTTACCATGTTCATGGTGTTATATTTGTGAAGGCCTTCTCACATGTGATAAGACAAGTCATGTTGTGAGTGTATTAGGGGTACCTTTTTGCTTATTCTGTTAAATTAAGTTGTGGACTCTTTCGCCAAAACCTTCTATAAAAGCACCAC